CAACGACTGCATGCTGGTTATGTGGTGATTGGCATTATTTACGATTCTGTCCATTTAAAAAGCATATATGTCAGGTGTGCAACAAACGTGGACATAAAGAAGGTCATTGTCCACCGAACCATACGTCTCATCCCAAAAAGAAGCATAAACGTTCTCGACATGTGAAATCAGCCGAGTTTAAATCTCTTTCTCTGGTAGCTGCCTTTCAAACAAACTATGACATTCGGAGAAAGTATGTTACCATCCAGATAAACGGCATATCAGCTCGTCTTCAAATTGACACGGCATCAGATATCACCTTAGTATCTAGAGAAACGTATAACTTGCTGGGTAAACCGCCAATGAAGCCATCTAAGAAAACGGCAAAAAACGCATCTAGTTGTGTGCTAAAACTGGTTGGTGAATTACAGTGTGAATTTTCCTTCAATGGAACTAACTGTACAGGAATATGTTACCTAACAGAACGGCCAAACCTTGATCTTCTTGGTCTAGATATGTTAGATATACTTGGAATAATGGATGTACCGATTAACAGTGTTTGCAACGTATTGTGTTCATCATTAGACACCCCAGTACTTGCAAAGAAGACAGGTGAAAGGTTACTAGAAAAACTGAAAAGAAAGTTTGCCTCTGTTTTTCAGAATAGCCTTGGCCATTGTACCAAGATGAAAGCTCATTTACCACTGAAACCAGATGCCAAACCTATTTTTCGTCCGAAACGTCCTGTACCATATGCTGCTCTTGAGTTAGTCGATCAGGAACTTAATCGCTTGCAACAGGCTGGTGTAATCCAACCAGTCTACTACTCTGCATGGGCCGCACCGATCGTAGTGATTAAGAAGGCGAATGGAACTATACGCATATGTGCCGATTTCTCGACCGGTTTAAATGCTGCATTAGATGTGTATCAATATCCGTTACCAGTTCCTGAAGACCTGTTTGCCAAACTTAATGGTGGGACATGTTTCGCGAAAATAGACTTTTCCGATGCCTATCTGCAAGTAGTAGATGAAGACAGTAGAGAGCTTTTGACCATTAACACTCATCGAGGGTTATTTCAATACACCCGTCTACCATTTGGCATCAAAACTGCACCTGCCATCTTTCAGCAAATAATGGATACGATGCTAACAGGTATACCTGGTACAGCAGCTTATCTAGATGATATCATAGTTATGGGTTCAACTGACAATGAACTTTCTGATCGACTACATCAAGTCCTTAACCGAGTGTTGGAATATGGTTTCCAACTACGTGAGGAAAAGTGTACTTTCTTTATGCATTCCATCAAATACCTTGGTTTTATCTTAGATAAGAACGGTCGCCGACCAGACCCTGCCAACATCGAAGCCATTCAGAAGATGCCTGCACCAACTGATGTCTCTTCATTAAGATCCTTCTTGGGGTTAATCAGTCACTATAGCACATTCTTTACTGAAATGCATCGAGTGAGAGGTCCGCTGAATGAATTACTATCAAAAGATAAACCTTGGCAGTGGTCAGCAGAATGTCAAGCATCTTTCGACAGAGTCAAATCAATGCTCAGCTCAAAGATTCTTTTGACACACTTCGATCCCAGCTTGGAAATTGTTGTTGCATCTGATGCATCTAGTCATGGAGTTGGAGCAGTGATATCTCACGTGTTTCCGGACAAATCAGAAAAGACAATTGCCCATGCTGCTAGATCACTTACCCCAGCCGAGCGAAACTACAGTCAAATTGAAAAGGAAGCTCTTGCGATCATTTTCGCTGTCAAAAGATTTCATAAAATGCTCTATGGTCGTACATTTACTCTACTGACAGATCACAAACCTTTGATTGCAATCTTTGGTTCTAAGAAAGGAATCCCTGTCTATACGGCTAATAGACTACAGCGCTGGGCAACAATGCTCCTGAGTTATGATTTCAATATCAAGTATCAGTCGACAAATACTATCGGTCAAGCCGACGCTCTCTCTCGATTAATTGGAGTTCAGCATCCTGGACCAGAGGATATAATCATTGCCTCCATTGCAGTAGACCCAGAAATACGAAGTATAGTGGCAGATGCCATTCGAAACACTCCAGTGTCGTCAGATGAAGTCAGAGAAGAAACTCTTCGAGACCCGATTCTACAAGAAGTTAGAAAGTTCCGCCTGGAAGGATGGCCAGCGAAGATCAGTTCCACAGAGCTTCAACAGTTTTACCAGCGTAGACTCTCTCTCTCAATCATCGACGACTGCCTGCTGTTTGCAGAACGTGTCATAATCCCAAAGAAGCTACAACCAGCAGTGCTTGGACAGTTGCACGCAGGACATCCTGGAATAAATCGCATGAAAGCATTAGCACGAAGTTATGTATACTGGCCGCATTTAGACACTCAACTGGAGCAGCTATCCCGTTCATGTACCAAATGTGCATTAGCAACGAAAACACCGCGAAAAGCAGAGCTGCAATCATGGCCAATACCACAGTCACCGTGGCAGCGTATACACTTGGACTTTGCTGGTCCACTTCATGGACAAACTTACCTTTTGGTAGTTGATGCATATAGCAAGTGACCAGAAATCTTTCTCATGGAAAACCCGACTGCAAGCTGCACAGTCAGTAAGCTACGTCAACTATTCAGTCGTTTCGGAGTCCCGGAATTGATAGTTAGTGACAACGGAACACAGTTTACGTCCGTAATTTTCTCAAAATTTTGTCGGCAGAACGGAATCCATCACGTCCGAACACCTCCATTCCATCCCCAATCAAATGGTCAAGTGGAACGCTTTGTGAGTACATTTAAAAATGCTCTAAAAAAATCTAAAGGGGAGGGGACCACCGAAGAGATCTTAGAGAGGTTCCTGCTTATTTATCGCACTACACCGAACCCTCAGACGATTAAGGGGGTCTCTCCAGCAGAAGCTCTACTTGGCAGAAAAATACGAACACATTTCGATGTCATCCGTCCTACGCCAGCTCTTGAGCCTCAATGAAACCTATCTATGGAGAATCAGTTCAATCGACATCATGGGGCACAAAAACGATTGTTCACGGTGGGACAAAAAGTACTTGCTATGGACTATCGTGAGAAACATCCTACATGGACAGCTGGTCGGATCTTGAAAAAGAAGGGGAGTGTGGTTTATGAGGTGTCAGTTGGCTCAGAAGTTTGGGTACGTCATGCTAACCAATTGAAAGCAACTTCGATAGCCAGCAACGAGATTCAATATCGACTACCTCTTGATGTTCTGCTAGACACCTTTGAAATCAAAACGCCTGGAACAGACAGGTCAGTTTCTGTGCAAGCAAAGAGTGATACTTCTCTATTGCCTAGACGATGGACAAATCGAAAGCACAGGCCAGTCACTCGGTTGCAGTTGGACCCTAGCACCAGATCCTACGAATCTGCTCAAAGGGGAGGTGTTAGTGGGACATAGATTGGATTTAAGCATGCTCAATGCACGATTGCTTTGGCGCACGCTGATTGGCTGATTCTTATCCAATCAGCGCTAGTCGATACATGGAGAAGCTTCTAGATTCTTCTTATGTAAAAAGCTATAAATATACTAACGGTTTTCCTATTTTGCTTCTTGCTTCCACCTAACCTTGTTATTTGGAATATAATCTCCTTCCTGCTCAATCGTGTTCTGATTTGGGGCCTTGTCGAGTGAATCTGTGTCCGTGAATACTAAGCAATAGGAATAGCTGTGTTATAACCGTAAGAGCGAAAATATAACAAACATACTAAACGACAAAGCACTACTTTACAGTGAATAACCAATTCAATCATAAATGGTTGTTAGCTTAAAAAACATACATACAATTAATCTTTCTAATCTGAAACACTAGTCAGATATTTAAAAAAAAAATAGTGATGTAAAGAATTGTAATAACGCAGTGGATGCTAATCAAAAGGATGTTTGTAGATAGTGTGTAGTTGAACGTGGCGTCGAAATTGCAACAGTTGTGAAGAATTTTAGTACATCGGAAGAACGGCGTTTACATAACACTTGGAAACCAGACAAGAGGGCAGTTCAGATGGCAGAAAACACCACAAGATACAAATGGAAGATTGAAGGCTACGCATATGTATTATGTAGGCATTTTATAGCTTCTCGCAATAAACATACATTCCTTCTGCCTATAGTTATGTTTTATAATAACACAATAGATTTTAAGTCAATTGAACGTTGCACAAAATGACCCAACGTTATGGAGTTTTTTTGTGATTCAACCAGAAGAAACTTTCGATTGTTAAAATTAATGTATAAAATGCTATGCGATAGATGAACACAATAATATAGTGTGATGAATAATGGCTACTGACGTAACCTCATTATTGACTTACGTCCCCGAATAATTATAATTCAAAGACAAGACTACTAGCCAGATAAACAGATTTTTTCATTCAATAAAATAACACGCTTATATAAAAAAATGAACACAAAATAAACATGATAAAATGTCATGAGTGGTCGGAGGAAATTAGCTTTTAGTTTACTCATTCTCTAATCAATTAAGACTTGACTGGTAGGCCTATTCTTTGGACATTGTATCTCCAAAAAGGTGTCAAAAAAATTAAATACGCAAATAGTTTGGAGCTTACATATTGATTACATCACCGACTGACCTTAGTTAGACAACCAGTCAAAACCAGAGAGCACCAAACAGCAGTTTCATTCCAGTATGAAACTTTTCAATAATGCGAAATTAGGACCCACAAGTTTCACAGTGAACGCTTGACTATTAGGGTCTAATGAGATGAGACTCCAACTTCAACCAATTTGCGATCGTCGTGCTACATCACCTGCTCAGTGGTTCGCTGGTAAAACTGTAGGCCCTGAGTCTGATGTACAGTAAGGTCGTGGATGCTCAATGCGGAGGAGAATTATACTGCGATACAACGGCTATTCACAGCTCTTTTTTCGGTGGTTTGCTAACCAAGGTCAGTACATGATATGAACCATAAAATTAAGTGCTATCCAAAAACTCCCTATACTAACACATGTTAACTGATTATTTAAAAGAACTACCGTTTATCTTCCTCCAATTCATATACTTGTCGACGTAATTGTTTGATTTCTTCAGTACACATAGAATACCGACGTTCTAAGTCAATTACATACTTTTGACGTTTGGCGCGACTAGCTTGAGCAGAAAGTTTATTACGAATTTTTCGTCTGACAGTACGTATTGCTTTTTCATTAGTTTGACTTAGTGGAAATTTGATAGGTAGTTGACAACCGATTTGTTGGAGCATTTTATATTCTTCTGAAGTTAATTTAACGCATTCTCCCTGTGAAATGAATAAGTAGAGATAAGAATTGTCATAAATAACTACACAATAGGTCAAATGATAGCCAAGTTGACAACAAAATGAGTTATTTAAGGTAAGATTTGAAATCGTTCGTAGCAAGTAGTAGAACAAACGAGTGACCAATATTAGAGAAATAAAACATTTAACAAGGTCGCGAATCTATGCCGACTGATAAGATTGATGAGCTACGCATACACTTCAACAGATTATTCTAATGTGCTGTGTTGACTAAACTGATAGTATAAGTAGTGGAATTAAACCTATGGAGAATCAACTTAAAAGGGTTTAAATAGATTCGAAGTAATAACATAACTCAGATTAGGAGAAAATAAGAGTTGAAATGTCTACTTGGAAATGGAATTAGCGTTGCGACAAGTTATTTATTTTAACACATAGATATTGGTACAAGGAGGCACCAAATACATATGCGCCACACAGATCTCATTTGATATGTGTGAGGGCTGTGATACTGCCCGGGTGCCCAAACCGAAGCAATTGGTATTCTTAGAGGGCCACACCCCGAGCCTTCAACCTAAGGGTCTAGTCCACAAGGCAATGGAGCATCGTAAGGAGATGCAGTCCCATGGTAGCCGGTGACCAAAGTTGGTTCATACGCCATTTGTTCCCGCAGGATACTGGAGCCCATGTGCACCATTGGTTTGGAATCCGGTTAAAGCTCCAGACATTCGATTTTCGTCCTCTCATTTTTGTAAACAACAGTAATGCCACGAGAAGGCAGTGAGTAGGACTTCCCTGGCAGAGGCTGTATACGCGTTGCCATGTGAGAGCATTTCGAGAGGGAGAGCGGACTCTCCCCACTCTCGGCCGTACCAGGGCATTTGGGGGCTGCGACAAGTTCCATTAGCTTGAAACTGCAAAACGACAAAGTGCTACAGGGCTTAGCCAGGTAACATCATTAAAAATTTAATCAAATTGTATTGCCTCACATATTAATAGAAAAAAAACGGTAAGATATGTGTTACGCTTTACGAACCACTATTTGCCTTACAGTGGAATGATGGCTGGTTCACGAGCAGATTGTAATAAAACTGGCAATAGTCAAACCAAGACTTTGTATTCGTTCATGAAATTATTAACTGTTGGTCTAACCTATGCTATCAGATGAACATTACCTGGTTGAAGTCCTTGTTTTAATATTGACCAGAAGTCGGAGAAAAGTTACACGGCTCGTAATCAGTAACAATGACAAAGGTGCACTATTTGTTTTGTTAGAGACCTTTAGTCATAATATAATTTTATACCTTATATTCAACAAATTCATTCCTTATTTTAAACTACATTCTTAATATTTAACCTTTCATCCTGTTCCTGATAATCCTACCATTTTGACTAATTTACTATTTATCTTGTTAATAAAAATCTGATTACACTAATCCCAAGTGCAACGACTTATATCGATGCATATACGTACCTGGTTCTGGACTGTTTATGACTGACTAGCTTATTGTATGTCTGTCCATATGAAAAAATTAAACACTGGACAAGAAATAAAACAAACAAACAAAATGGAATACTCACAGGTTTACCATTTAGTAAGTCTTCATTATTTAGACAAATTACTTTATTAGTTTTATAAGAATCATTCATATCACACTCATTATTAATTTCCGTTGAATTCAACAATTGATGACAATCATGGTTATTGACAGAACTTGAAGAACTATGAGTTGATGATGATGAATATAAAAGTTTTTGTTGTTGAATAATTTTCTCTTGATATGAAAATTTTGGTATTGGATTAAAATGATCAATCAAAGATTTTCTTTGACAATTGGTAAACTTCTCTTTCTCATTTTTAATTTGTTTAGATTTTAAAAAATTACCAGGATTAATATCGTCCAGAGATACTAATTCATTGGAGTCGGGTAATAAATCTGTCCAATTAAAATCTGGACTATCTAAATCTTTATTCAATAATTCTAATGGAAGTGTATGAGTATCTATTTCAAATGAGAATAGATAATCATCTTCTTTATTTAATCCTAAATCTAAGGGGAAAAATGAAAATATTAATTATTCGATATGATGAGTAAGAACTTAATTGTTTTGAGTGAGATTTATGATATTGTATATGAATGATTATTTAGTAAATTATTGATTAAAGAATATACCAAGGTTAAAAAAAGACAGAAAGAAAACACGTGTTAAGATACAAACAACGGAATATGGAAGCGTATCGAAGACCATGAACCGTTTGTTTTCTCTTCCTTATCTTCCTAAGTTCTTCGGGTTGACAATTATCTTTTATATTTCTATTTGATATTGATTAATTAATGAGAAGCACTACTTGGTCTAATGTATTTAAATATGACTAGTGATCAGTGTAAATCATAAAAATCAGTGTATTCAGATGACATTCCGATTTACTTTGGTTGTCAAACACATCTCCATCTATCACCTTAGTGTTCATAATTGTGTCATCCGATTCAAATTATTCAGTAGCAAGAATCTAGTTATATATATTACAGGTACATTTTGCTGATGAGTGCCACAAAACCTAGATCCAGCGTTTTCTGTCGGCCATCCCCAACCATCATCTCAAGTCACCTAGACTAGTAGTCACATTGTAACTTGGTCGACAGAACTCGATCAGTACTACGAAAGACCTTACACACATGACATCGATCACTACCAGATGATCAATCAATTGTAAAGACATGAAATACTGAATGACATTTGAAGAAAGCTACGACAGTTTTCATAACCGCTAAGATTTGGAAACCCAATTTTAATCATCTTTTCAAGTTATTGGATTGTGAGTAGCTAGAGGCCAAATGGACTATCCGTCAATCTTTTGTCATTTTAATTGTCCAGATCAAAAACGGATTACTGTTGTCTCCTTTCATCATAGTCTCACTAACGGACATTTTAACCCTAGTCTATTTGGGTTTAAACAATGCCGGATTTTTCGTCCCCTTTGATTTTTTTTACTTGCGATCGCTGTATAGATACCTCTACACTTAAGTTACTTTCGATGTCCATCATATCCGAAGCTCAGTAGAGTGAGTATGGCCGAGAGCGAAGAGGGTTCGCCCTCCCTCTCGAAATACTCTCACACGGCCACGCGTATACAGCCTCTGCCAGGGAAGTCCTACTCACTGCCTTCTCGTGGCATTACTGTTGTTTACGAAAATGAGAGGACGAAAAGCGAATGTCCGGCGCTATAACCGGATCCCAATTCAATGGTGCACATGGGCTCCAGTATCCTGCGGGAACAAATGGCGTATGAACCAACTTTGGTCACCGGCTACCATGGGACTGCATCTCCTTACGATGCTCCATTGCCTGGTGGACTAGACCCTTAGGTCAAAGGCTCGGGGTGTGGCCCCCTTAGAAAACCACCTGCTTCGGTTTGGGCACCCGGGCAGTATCTCAGCCCACGCACTAAAACCATGATGAACTATTTGCTTATGGAAAATATTCCTTTCTATCTGATTATCATTGAAATGACTCGTACTATTATTATTATTATTTTACCACGTCATTTATTCACCCTCTCTTATTCCTACTTTATGTATCCGTTTCGACATAGACAGCAGCTCGCCTATGGTGAAAATTCAGCTTTATCTAAACGTTCTCGAGTCACTGCCTGGTTGAAAATTGTATGTTACCACCGAATACGAGTACTGAAGCAGTTTTTCTGAAACCACGTACACCATTCAAACTGGCTGCCTTCAACGTTCGCACACTTATGCAGGTCGGACAACAGATAGGTCTGGCTATGTCTTTGGAAAGTCTTAATATTGATGTGTGTTGTCTATCCGAGACCCGTATTCAAGACTTTGGTGAAGTACTACAAGTTCTCTCTCCATCTGTCGCTTCAAAAAGCTTGTTTTATGTGCGTTTATCCGGGGACCCTGTGGCATCTTCGTCTGGTCTTTCTGGCGTTGGTGTCGCACTAAGCGCTAGAGCTGAGGCAGCACTAGTCGACTGGATCCCCATTAACAGTCGGTTATGTGCTGTTAGATTAGAAAGTCCCATCAAAGTGAGAAGAAATCGGCGCGAGAAACGATGTCTTTTCGTCATCTCCGCCTATGCCCCGACAGATTGCAGCCCGGATGCAATCAAGGATGAGTTCTACCACCAGTTAACTGTTCTTCTCCAGAAAGTGCGCTCGACAGATATTATAGTACTAGCTGGAGACTTGAATGCTCAGGTCGGGCGTCTAGGCACAGAAGAGAGTCGTTTGGGTGGCCGATGGGGACTCGTTGGTCGCAGGACAGATAACGGGGAACGTCTACTGCAACTATGCACAGACCACAACCTGTTTCTGGCTAGCACTAACTTTTGGCACAGTCATCGCCGATGTGCCACCTGGCGTCCCCCTTCTACATCTCAAGCCTGGATACAGATTGATCACATCGCGATCAGCTACCGCTGGCGTGGTTGTGTACAAGACTGCCGCTCCTTTTGGAGTACCTATCTGGAATCTGACCATGCGCTGGTCTGCGCCAATCTTACCTTAATTTTCAGTGGACAACGAAGTGACCGCCACTAAAGGATTGATGTTAGTAAGCTGGCTGCAACTTCTGTTGCTAGTAAGTACCGAACCGAGCTAGCTTCTAGGCTAGCTACCATTCCACCGAAAAGTATAGATGAGCATTGGTTGCAATTGCATGACGCCATGAATATGGCGGGTACAGTCTGTTGTGGGTTCGCGAAACGTCCCGCTTACAAGCACTGGGTTTGACCACAGACGAAGGATGTTACGTAATGAAATCGGGCAAAGCTTGCATAAGGACCGTGAAGCCTGGTGGTCGGAGTGTGCTAATGAGCTGGAAGCAGCAGCTGCATCTGGTAATTACCGGAAGCTTTTTCAACTCATCCGAGCCACTGGCAGCAAGAAGTTTGGTGTGAGCGAAACAATCTGCGAGGATGACGGAACGCCAATCACTAACATCCATCGACGTCTTGGACGATGGGCAGAATCTTTCGAAAGGCAGTTCAACTGGCCTGCTGCTCCGGCAACATCGGTCAGACTGTCCTGCCCTCCATGGCCGGTGACGACTGATCCACCAAATGAGGCGGAAGTCCGCAAGGAACTCCAACTCTTGAAACGTTACAAATCACCGGACCCAGACGACTTACCTCCGGCTCTTTTTAAAGATGGTGGCGACTTTCTTACTCAGGGACTGACGACTTTGTTTACAAAGGTCTGGGAACTAGAGAGTGTACCAACGTCATGGAATGAGTCGATAGTTGTCCCTATCTTTAAAAAGGGTTCACGTCGTTCCTGTAACAATTATCGGGGATAAGTCTACTTCCTTTTGCATCCAAGCTATTGGCTTCCGTCATACTTCGTAGATTGTTCAGAACCCAAGAAAGATTGGCTCGCGAGGAGCAGGCTGGGTTTCGTTACGGTCGAGGATGTATTGATCATATATTCACCCTCCGCCAAGTGTTAGAACACCGCCATACTTATCAAAGGTCAACAATCGTAGTGTTTCTTGATATCAGGGCTGCCTTCGATTCGTTGGACAGAACTGTTCTCTGGGATTGTCTATTGAAGAAGGGTGTGCCTGAGAAGTTTATTAACATCCTAAAAGCCCTATACACAAACACCTCAGGCAGAGTGAGGGCATACAACCACCTTTCTCCACTATTCCATTCAAGCAGTGGAGTTAGGCAGGGTTGCCTAATCTCACCATTCCTCTTCAACTTTGCCATCGATGACATTCTGGAAACAGCTCTGACGGATGTAAGTAATGGTGGTGTGGATCTGTTGCCTGGAGAAAGACTTCTCGACCTTGAGTATGCGGATGATATTGTCTTACTGTGCGAGAATGCCCAAGCCATGCAATCCGCACTTAATCAGTTGGCAATCAATGTCCGTAGGTATGGTATGTGCTTCGCACCTTCGAAGTGCAAAGTACTTCTACAAGACTGGCAGGATTCTAATCCTGTTCTCACTCTGGATGGTCAGCAGATAGAAGTAGTCGAGAAGTTCGTGTATCTAGGTAGCTGCATAAGTGCTGGTGGTGGTGTGAGTGATGAGATCGATGCACGTATAGTGAAAGCCAGAGCGGCTTATGCCAATCTGGGTCATCTTTGGCGCCTTCGTGATGTTGGTCTGGCTGTAAAAGGTCGGATCTACAACGCGACGGTAAGAGCAGTTTTGCTCTATGCTTGTGAAACCTGGCCTCTCCGAGCTGAGGATGTTAGACGACTCTCTGTGTTCGGTCATCGTTGTCTCCGAAGGATTGCTGGCATCTAGTGGCAACACTATGTCAGTAATGCAGAGGTCCGGCATCGTGTGTTCGGCCACAGAGACGATAATGAAATTGGTGTTACCATCTTGAAACACCGACTTCGGTTACTTGGACATGTTCTAGGAATGTCGTCCCAGAGAATTCCTCGTCGTGCATTATTTGCCGACTCTGGGACTGGTTGGAAAAAGCGGAGAGGCGGTCAGTATATGACATGGTGTCGTGGTATGAAAGAAAGCTGCAAAGGGCTAGCTTCTGTTGGTCCTTCACGACTCCCTGGCTGGGGTCCGAGAGATGGTATTATTTATTGATTTATTTTAACACATAAGTATAGGTACAGGGAGGCACCAAAATACATATGCGCCACACAAATCTCAATTGATTTGTGTGAGGGCTGTGATACTGCCCGGGTGCCCAAACCGAAGCAGGTGGTTGTCTTAGGGGGCCACACCCCGAGCCTTTGACCTGAACGTCTGACCCACAAGGCAGTGGAGCATCGTGAGGAGATGCAGTCCCATGGTAGCCGGTGACCAACGATTGGTTCATACGCCATTTGTTCCTGCAGGATACTGGAGCCCATGTGCGCCATTGGTTTGGGGTCCGGTTAAAGCGCCAGACATTCGCTTTTCGTCCACTCATTTTTGTAAACAACACCCCCGCCACGAAAAGGCAGTGAGTAGGACTTCCCTGGCAGGGGCTATATACGCATGGCCATGTGAGAGCATTTCGAGAGGGAGAGCGGACTCTCCCCACTCTCGGCCGTACCAGGGCATTCGGGGGCGATCCTGCTGTAACCTTCTTTTACTTTCTTCATAAAAAGTGGTTGTATTTTCCTTAACTGAAAGATTTCTTCTGATTGTACCTTTCCGTTTTCCCCATCATTGTTCTCTCTCTTTTTTTTTATAATTCCCCACGTTCATTACCTTTTTTTCTCCTTCTCTTCAAATTATCATTGTTTTGTGTGGCGCATATATATTTGGTGCCCCCCTGTACCAATATTTATGTGTTCAAATAAGTAAATAAATAAATATAAGAGTGAGTTTTTGAGTATTTATATTAATTAAGTACAAGTTTCTTGCCTTTCGATATAGATCGATTACAGAAACCGTTGCTGTTTCTTGTTTGTAGATTATGTCATGGTATCTTAGTGTGAAAATTACTTTCATGTTCACTAGGTACTTTGTTAGTTTTGCTTTAAATTTACTCCTTTGGATTTAAAATTCAAACTCAGTTGAATAAGCCTGTCTACTGCGACTTTTATGAATCCAGTAAGGTCTAGACATGTATTTTTATCTTTGCAAGTCCAGAATCCAAAGGCAAACTCTAGAAAAATTAATCCTTTACTGATCTTCAAAAATAACTGATAAAAACAAGGTTCATCTGAGTCCATTGTTGAGTCAAAGTTAAGGACTATTTAGCCAGTATTTTAACTATGCTTCGAGTTAGTACCTGCCGTAAATAAAAGGTTATCACGGTACATTTGAATCACACGGTAACATTTATCTGTTGAACAGTTTTGAACGTAAAATATTTAATTTATGTATCGTTCTGTCTGGATTAACCTATCCACTAACCCGTTAATATCACACAACACGGAAATCCCAATATAAACAGCTGGAATATAGCTCAATACGTACCGAGATTTGAATTAGTAGTGGCTGTCTCAGTTACCGAATCACTACTCAATAGACGATCGCCAGATGAATGGTATGTTTCAACAATTTCTTGGTGATCTAACTGCAATATTGTTGGTGACACAGCATGGTAATCAATTTCATCCCCATATGAAAAATCTGGCAAATTAAATTTCTCTATTGACATTGTTTCAGGAATTTCGACCATGTTACGTCAATCAGCACTAAAGAATGTAATAAGATCATCCGTTTTAATCAACCACATACCATTAATTTTGGGATAGGAGAGTTAATCAAGTGCCTATGGGACATTTTGTTACTATGGTTAGTAACGTTGTTTGTTCGAGTCCATGTTTTCCTTTTCCATTTGAACAAGAACAGAGGTCAAGTGTACCCTTTAGAAGGTAACAGATTGAAAGTCAGAAGAAAATGACAAGCTGAAATAATAATAATAATAATAATAATAATAATAATAAAGACAGATGGTGAATTCTCCCAGAGAACTCAGTTACTTAAAATATACATTTACTGTCTACAAAGTATTGAAAATAATCTACATACATATATCTTATCGATTTTAATGAAGGTGGCTGTAGTAAGAAGGATCTATTGTATTCAAAGAACAATCATACTATTTATGCAAATGAAAATGTCATGAAGTAAATAAACAGCTTGAGAGACGGGAATTTTATTTACCCAAATGGATTAGCAAAATTAAAAATGAGGCTTTAAAAGTTATAATTCAGTGAGTTAATAATCAAAAGAGTAAACTATATTCGTAACTGGTTTGTAGATGAGTACAAACGATCTATTAGGAAATACATGACCAGGTGGAAATTTCCACAGAGAATGTTACAGAAATCTTAGGAATAACATGCTCAGATTTATTCGGTGGAACATATGATTTGCTTACACAAAAAAGTATATTGGAATATCTAAATGTTTGAGGGATAGTGCATCACTACGAACGCATAAAATTCATACTGTTCACATAAAGGTTAAATCAACCTGTTAGTTAACTATTTAGATCACTATAACACTGTATCTAGTACTAACATAACATTTTATTTAGTACCAAAGTAATGCTCCTCAGTAAATACTCCAATTAGCTAGTAATATTATTTCAGGATTAGTTGTGAAAGGTGCTTAACTTATCAAATGGTCTCTACGATAGTGACAGAGCATTAATACGTATGAAATTATTGGCCACCAGTGATTTCATTACAGCTGAATACATAACCACTGCAAAATTTCAGCGATATAATCGTTTCAATTTGGTGGATATTCTAGGAGTTCGTAGTTGTTTATGCTTTTATTAAAAAACAAGTGCCCATGGTTGCGAGGTAATGGCTTTTAGCGATCAGCTTTGACTTTGTAAAGATGGTCTGAGTGTGGTATCACAAATTACACGAAGAGTAATACGTGATTGTGCCAATTTATGGCCACACAAAATAATTTCTTTACGAGTGAATCTAGCGAATATAAGCGCTGTGTTTGTTATTTATGGCACAGCGAACAACGAAAAAGTAGAAGTTGATCTAGATGACACCAGGATATCCAAATCAAAAGAGAAACTGTCGGTCCAAGTTTATTTATATAGAACGACTGGAAGGGGAAATGGGAAAAATATCCTGTTTGTGAATATGTATCAATGGAAGTGAATGTTCAAGAGATACAAGCTTACAGCAATTTAGCGATTCGCGCAACTGTTAACCTGATAGAAGCACGCTTTACGCCAAGTAAGCCGTAAGTCTAGAAGTCTTATCAAATTTGATCGAGATCGGTGTTGCTGTGAAATTTTACGCACGTTGTTATCGTAATCTGTTGGTTTTTCTAACACAACAAATGTTATTGCAACATTTCACACCTTGGTTTATCATGACTTTTGTGATGTAGCAGCGCCAAGTAATTCACGACCATACTTATTGATCTTTTAGTCTTGTATAACACTAAATGTACTGTGATGCTTACACATTTAACTGCCTTTTCTTGAGGTAGATCTCTTGAAAAACAGGTCTTTCTTCTTTATATTTGGTGTGGTTGTATATCATTTCTTTTTATATAGGCTGTCCAGTCTATTTAACTAGTCCAACTATGCAACCCACAGTCAAAACGTTTAAAATTCAGTTGGCAAATCTATCTGTACGACGATCCCCACCATTTCCTTCATGTTACTGAAAGTGTTCTAAACTTTGGTAACTATATGTCTCAAAACAGTTTGTTTTAATTGCAAAAAGGGAATTATTGAGTCATCTCAATAAGATGACTTTTTGCCAAATGGCATCTAAAAATGCGACCAGGTCAATATCGGTGGAAGTATTTTATATTTTGTGGTTTAGGATTTTTATTCCACACAAGAAGAGTCAGAGGTGCTGAAGGCTCCATGGGATCATCGGAAGTGCGGAAACCATTTTATAGGTGGTGGCAATTTTCACTTACAGAATAGATAGTCAAGCTTACGTGCTTACAAGTCGATAGCTCTTCAAACCACTTGAACACCGAAATTGGCTAATAAATTTATATTTTGGAAACAGCGAAAATGTGTCCTCACTGAAGAATTTACGAGAAAACTCCAAAAAAGTTCACAAGCTCAGAACAAAATATTTGCCAGCTGACTATCGACTTTCCTATCGAATCATCAACAAGCGGAATTTATTAACTCAACACGTGGTTGAAGCTCCATCTGTCGACACTTTCAAACGAAAGTTGGATCAACTGAGAGGCCGTAATTGTCAGGACTAACGCAGGTCATCAAGCCTCCTGTCCTTTCCAAACTGAAACTATAGCTTCAGTTCGTATACAAATTTTACACGATCTTTAAAAAGGCATACTTATTATAGCCACTTTTCATTCTTACCTGCGTTCTTCTTGTTCTGAAATTTTCAAAACGTAATCTAAGTCAATGAATTTAGCATTACGATATAAGGGAATTTCTATTTTTTCCTGACATGATTAAATTTTAACACTGATATTATGCGCGGGACATAATAAACTTTAAAGTACACAAAGTAAACATAGGAGATTTATATGTTTTAAAAAGATTGCCATACTTCTATTTGTCCACGTAATAGTTATCAGCTGTGAGCTCTCTGAGGTCATTTCAAGGGCACAGATGTGGTGGCTGAATTTTCCACATATCTGAATGCATTGTCAAAGTTTTAGTTCTTGGAAATTTAATTTGTTTGTACGTACTTTGAAAACTTGAGAATGCTCCTTTTCTTTTTTGCAATTGTTGACCTACCTTGGTTCTTGGATTAAATCATGCTCTCTTTAAACAAATCCAAATCCTGATCACACCATAGACTTTGTTATCGTAAATTCAGTTTCAGTTTGGAAAGGACAGGAGGCTTGATGGCCTGTGTTAGTCCTGGCGATGATGTTCTCTCAATTGATCCAACTTTCTTTTGAAAGAATCGACGGATGGAGCTTCAACCATGTGTTGAGGTAATGAATTCCACCCGTTGATGATTCGATGGGAAAGTCGATAATCAGCTGACGAGCAATTTGTTCTAAGCTTGTGAATTTTTTTAGAGTGCCCTCGTAAATTCTCCGTTTTGGAAGACAAGGAAAATGAGGGCATATCAAGTGCAAGTTTATCATTAAGCAATTTGAAAACTGTAATCAAGTCGTCTCTAGTTCTACGATATGACAAAAGAAATAGGTATGGCTTGGCCGGTCGAGCATCATACGGAAGCTTTGCTATTCCGGGAATCAGCTTAGTTGCTGTTCTCTGAACCTTTTCCCAAAGCTCACTGTCTTTTTTTAAACAGGGGCTAGCCGCTTGTATGCAGTGCTCAAGCTTAGGACGTACGAACACTGTATACAAAGTCAAAAACGTTTGAGCGTCGACATGAGTAAAAGCCCTACGTATTGACCATAAAGCTCTAAAAGCTTTGGCGGCTATTGCACGGCAGTGTTTAGTAGTCTTCAGATCTTGGCTAACGATGACTCCTAAGTCACTATGTGTCTGGACAACAGGTAGCTCAGTGTTATTCATCGTGTATGTATCTGAACCTTGATGACCGATATGCATCACAACACACTTGGAAGTATTTATCGGCAGCTGCCAGGTATGAGACCATTCAGATAGTTTCTTCAGGTCATTTTGCAGTTCTAAGTTATCACCATTACATCGTATCGTTCTCCATATCTTGACATCATCAGTATATAACAAGACCGATGATGATAATAGGTGAGAAAGATTATTTACATACAAGGGGAATAACACTGGCCCCAAAACTGTACCATATGGAACTCCACTAAGCACAGTTTCCCAGCTAGATAATTTTGAGTTTACCCGTACTCTTTGTTGGCGCCCAACAAGGAAGTCTTCTATCCACGTCAATAGATTGCCTCCAATTCCAACATTTTTTAGCTTATGTAACAGCCGGTTGTGCGGAACCTTGTCAAAAGCTTTGCTGAAACCAAAGTAAGCCACGTCTACAGGTAATTTTTGGTCCTTAAGAGCACACCAGCTTTCACGAGCGACTAATAAGTTGGTGAGACAAGAATAGCCTATTCTGAAACCATGCTGCTTCTCCGAAAGGATCCGGTTTACATCGAGGTACTTAAACAGCTCCTTCCGAATAATCTTTTCTAAGATTTTAACAACCACACTAAGTAGGCTAACGGGTCGGTAATTCTCAGGTTTATGTTTCGTACCTTTTTTGAAGACAGGACTTACTATAGCGTTCTTTCAGTCTTTTGGTAAACGACCCTGCGTTACGGATAGCTTAACGCATATACTTAAAGGGTTCGCAACGAAGTTAGATAACTCCTTTAGTAGCCTAGGATGCAATTCATCGGGCCCCATGGATTTACCTATGTCAAGCCTATTTAGCAGATCAAAGACACCGAGTTCATTTATGGTCACGCTATCCAGTGTATGTGTGGGGGGTTATTATGCGCTAACGGTAAGGGTGCTTCTATGGTCTATACATTGCTAAAGTAGTCTGAGAACACTTGAACCTTACCAAAGTCATCCTCCACTAATGATGCGGCAGTACTGTCTCCCCATAGTGCAGGAATAATTCCTCTTCTTTTTGTCCTTTGGTTTATATAGGAATACAGGCGTTCAGGACATTCTATGGATTCCTCAACAACTTTTTGTTCGTACAACTTTTTAGACTTACAGAGGGCCGAAGCACAGGTATTCCGAGCTTTTCGGTACTGAGATTTAGTCTCATCAGTCCCCAGTAACCTAAATCTATCCCACTTTTTTTTCTCTTACGGAGGATGCAGAGCTCCCTACTGAACCATGGTGGGGAGTTTCTCGGCCCCCTTGGTATAGTCCAAAGGATTTGGGGTGCGGTAACTTTAAGTAAAAATTTTGAAATACGTTCCAAGCCGTTCTAATTAAGGACTCTGGCTTTATTGTCCAATCTAATAACGATGCTGAGTGTATGATATCCGGTATGTTTGCTTTCCAGACGTCAGGTATTAATTGAGCTGACGCGTGCTCATGATTGACAATTATATGGAAGTCAAAAGTTAAAACTGCATGGTAACTTTTACCTAGGAGTGGCACGTAATCGAGGTTCGTAAAGTCATCTTCATAATGAGTTAGCATAAGAACTAGTAAGGATTATTCAGATTCCGGGTCATATCTAGTCGCTTCTTTCGCATGTTGCACTAGGGTGCATGCGAGAACCGCATCAACTAGTTCATGCTCCAAGGAATTACTTGACGATTCAGTTCGCAGATTTTCCCAGTCTACCAGGGGTGCATTAAAGTCATCTAGGATTTTTATTTATTTATTTATTTATTTGAACACAGGGCATTTGGGGGCGATCATCTAGGATTAGACGTCGACCGCTTTGCGACCAAGTACTGAGCCTGTTCAGCAGAACATCATTTACCTCACAGCTTGGACTGAGATAGACCAAACCAATCAGCAGCTCTTGTCCCTTGCATTTCAAGCGGCAACTAACCAATTCACACGTCCCACTTTCATGGGATACACTGTCAATAATGACAAATGAAATAGCATCCCTAATGAACAAAGCTACTCTCCCTCCTTTACGTTTCTGTATTCTGTCGGCCCTTAATAAAGTAAAACCCTCAAAATCGAGTTCCATACTATCTATGGACTGTGTCAGCCAGGTTTCTGTGACTGCGATTTTGTCTGGCTTTGTAGGGTCAATCTGTTCACCTAGTCCCGATCGCTTATTGAGCAAGCTTCGAGCATTAATGTAACAGATTCAAAGCCTATTTAATTGGCTTCGTATTGCACCCAGAGAGGCTTCAGCATCATTCTCTGTCGAAGCCACACAACCCGAAAATTCATAAGTTTTAGGTCCTTTTTGCCAGCGTCTAAACTAAGCTGTAGCTCTTTTTGCTCTTTTCGTCTTTTAACACGGCCTGTCAGCGGCAAATCCTTACACACAAAAACTCCCGAACCTTTTATGTCCATTCTGTTTAATTAAGTCCCGTTCATTTGCAGATTTGAATACCACTTTAAGCAGTCTGGATTGGTTAGGCTTCAAATTCGCTAAACTACCTAGTCTATACATCTTTAGCAAGGTGACTCCGGAGATATTTTGAGGCATGAGTTGATTGAGTAGCTGTCTTAATAGAACAATGTTGTGCTTAATTATCATTAATATCTCATTATCAGTCTTGAGGTATTTTCGCGGAGAAAAGATTAATGTTCCTGTGTATTGTACTTAGGGTCAAAATTTTTGTCAGTAAAATTGATTATAAAGTAGGTCTCGGTCCCATTAGGACTCAAATTAAAATGGTTCAAATGGTTCTGGATGGAATGGAAGAAGCCTCAGCTTATAGCCCTGACGTATTCAGTAACAGTGGATCGCCGATTCCGCCACTTAAGAACTTAGATAAATTTAACGACAAAAGGGAAAAAATGGTTAATTATTAACTAGAAACTGTCCTTAGTCCTTAAGTATATGTCAAGGTTTTTCTTGAAGGACTCCTGTGAGGTCTCTTGGACGAGCTGAGACGGTAGTAAATCCCAGAATTTGACTACTCTTCAGAAGTAGAAGGTGTCCTTACAGTTTGTTCTGCTATGTTGTGTCTTTAGTTTCTGGGTGTTACTCTTGAGATTTTTGTTGAAAGGGAGCTCAAGTAGGTGTTTAAGGAGACATCAAAGGATATTTAGGATGCTGTACGCTGTCAGAAAGTGACCTCAGAGACGACTATACTCTAATGGGTGTAGATTGGGTGATCATAGGCGCTCTTCATAAGGTATGAATTTCAGCCCCATAACTGGTTTAATGGCTTGTCGTTGGATTCATTCTAATGTATTCTTATCCTTTTGAGGCGAAAGGGGAATCGCTATATTTCCATACTGTAGACGGGTTCGAACAAAACTGTTGAAGATTATGTGTAAAGTTTTTCCGTCGAACTAAAAGAAATTGTGTTTCAGCGTTAAAAGTGAAAAGTTTGCTCTAAGGTACTTTTGTCTCAATAAGCGTAAGACCCAGATTATAGGACGCCGACAATCCTAGATCTTCTTGATATAGTGTACCTCTAGATGTGAGCTACCTAAGGTGTATTCGTAGCCTTCGACATGTCTCAGATGTATCACTCAACACTTCGAAATGTTGAAGGTAATTTTGTTATCTGCCCGACTTTGAGGTTGAGACAGATCCTCCTTTTGTTCGCAAACGTCTCTCCAAAATTTCATATCATCAGAAAAATTTGTCACCCACAAATGTGGGTGATATGGTATTCCCCGATGCTTTCGGCCAAATAAATTTCTACAAGATGACAAGCGAGTAATTGCTGCTCATGTCACAATCAGGAAGAGCACGAGTTGTAGCCAAGGAGAGTACAACTCCCAGTTCATGTCTATGATGATAGCATGAATTTTTGTCAGTGTTGGGGTAAATTCTGCAGTGATGTTTCCAGTT